AAAAAAAAAAAAAAAAAAAAAAGAACCAGGCGTGGGTCCATGGGGCGAGGGTCAGCACGCACGAGCACAGCACGAAGAAAAACAGACCCCGGAGAGAGAGAAAGTGAGGGAGAGGGAAAGAGAAAAACAGAGCCTTGTCGGGGTTCTTCGGCTGCGTCCTTGTAATCACTACGACATCTCGTGCCTGCAGGGCATGGAGGCGGGTGGGCGGATGTTCAAGACAGCTCAGTACAGCTCGGCACTGACACTGACTTACAACCAGTCACCCTTCGCCCTTCGGCACCTTGCGCGACTTCACGGCGTATGGTGAGTCTGGCCACGGCGCCGTCACGGCATGCTCCGTGGGTGCATGGGATGATTCACTGGTCGTTGCCGTCAGCTCTGAATCACTGGAGCTGCAGCTGGGGCTGAGCTCGTTCGCATCTTTCTTTTCCGATCTTTCAGATGCGAACCATGGCAACTTCATGCCAGGTAGCGGCTCGGAATCCTGGGAATCCTGAAGCCTGGGGCCACTGCTCAGGTCCTCCTCCTCCTCCTCCATTGGAGCTATTCGGTTCGGGGAAGACCGACCATACATCAAAGACAGCAACCAATACAGCGACTTTTCCACGGCAGGGAGGTTGTTGACTGCTTCAGCCTCCTCTTCTGCGCTGATAAGCCTGGACGGATCGTGTTGGGACAGAGCTTGTATCTTTGGATCAAATTTCATTAGCGGATGCAATCTGCGGAAGGGCTTCCACATGTTGGCCTTATCATTCTGCTGTCAGGATACCTGTCCCGCGCTAGGCTGGAAGGCAAGGCCACCAAGGCTTCCAGCGTAATCTGCGGAAAGCGTACAGAAAACTGAGCATCGCTGACACCGCGGACGAACTCTTGCCAGGTGATGTCGCCGGAATCATCCGCATCCAAGAAAGAGAACACTTCAGCGGCAAACTTCTTCTCCATTTGCAGAGAATCCATCATTCCAACGATCTGACGGGCTGTGACTCTGACCATCTATGCTGCACAACAGGAGTGTCTTCCAGCAGTAGCACACTCGAGCAACTTATTGGCATGAGCACATAAAGCGCACTGCGCGCCTCTCCAAAGCTCAATTTAGAATTGCCATCGACGTCGATCTTGCGGAATGCCCTCTTGAACAGCGAAACCTCAGGTCTTCAACTCCGTGGACCTAGTCAAGGACTCAACCAGCAAAACTTGGTCAGATCGTGTGCTCCTTATACACGCCGGTGTGCACATGGCACTTGCACACAAGTGAGTCTGAATCAGAAGCTCTGCAGACAGAGCGCTCGCCCGATCATTGCTTCAAGGTTGCTCTCCGTGACACTTGTCAGTGTCAGTATTGCATCAGTCACAGAGTCGTAAGTGGTCTTCTCTCGCCGATCGAAAACGGCCCGGAGGACCTTCTTGGCATCCTCATCCGACAGGCCTCGCAGTGCGGCATAGCGCGACATCACGTCTTAGGTCTCTTCAGAAGAGCTCCGGACCCATGGCGGCCAGGAGCGTCTCCACTTCATCCTGCCCGACGTCGCCAGAGCCAGACTGGGCCTGGTCGATGAGGTCCAAAGCCTCTCCGGAGCGAAGAAGCGGCGGCGCAGTCTCAGCCCTAGAACAGACATGTGAGCGCCTCTGTTACGAGGATACTTTTGCGGCGCTTGACGCCAGGTGTGTCATGGCTCGGAGAAACCATGAAAACCCCGGTCGCGAAGGCCTCAGGTGCTTGACTGAGCTGGCATCTGACATCACCCCTATTCAGACCAAACCCTGCGATGCCTGCAAACCCACTGTCGAAGAAACTGATTTTGGGATCTGAAATAACCGACATGATGGCATCCGATGCATGCTACAGCCTATACAGCTGCTAGTTACCAAGTCGGAGGAAGTGGCTGCTCGTGCACCGAGAACCGTCTGGGCAACCCTCCTTTTCCCGGCACGTCACGGCTTGCCTAAGGCTTCGCGCAACTCTGCGTCTGAAGTCAGATGCGTGCGTGAGGAGAAGATTGAGGAAGTATTAGCAATTCCGCGTGACTCATCCTCTGGAGACAATATTGTGTTGTACAGTCTCTCCCCATCACTACAGCTCTTTGTATGGCTCTCCACTTCAGCTTACTTCCCCTGCGAATGAGTCGTCTGGACTTGACGAATTATTCTGGACGCAGTAGTGCGCGACAGAATTAGTCTAAGCTAGATCAAAGAAGTTGTGTGAGCGTCAGCAAAGGAGTGTGCCAGATTTTCTGGACATCCTCGGGTCAAGCAGAATCGCGCAAAAGAGAGCCTATGCAGCATGAGCCTGACCTGAAGTTCCAATGGAAGCAATCAAGGCACATTGCTTCTCATAGCCCAACACGGTGCTCCCAAGCCACCGCTCCGTCCCCTGAAGACATGTTTGATGTAAGTGAGGCAGCAACAGCAGCAGCAGCAGCAGCAGCAGTGCCACTCATGTAGACATATGTAGACACAAGTCTGCGGGCACAGGGTGGGTACAGAAGAGAAGTTGTGGACAGCTGAATTATTTGTCGTAGAGTCAGATGAAGGCATTCAATGGCATGTCTCCTACTTACATTTGGATCCAGATTTACGGCAGCAGCGTTGCTTCACAGGATTCGATCAGAACAGTCTTGCACAGCGCCTTCTCCGGAACGGTGCAGACACACTTTGGCACGGCACGAATGACTCCCATGAGTTACTGACAGGACCAAACGAGACAGATTGCGGCACCATACAGAATGACAGAGAGGCTTTCACTCTAGAGCTGGTTACTCCAGTCACATGCCCAGTTTTGATCATTTTTGCAGCTCACGCCTCCACACCAGCCTCGCCGCGGCGCTCCGAGTAAGACCTTGGAGCACGGAGCCTTTGTTAGCCTTCCTGACCGGCGACACACCCAGGGCTTGTCCGCGGGTCAGCCGCGCCAAGGTCCAG